TCGTGGGGGGCCTCCAGGGGGGGCTGGGGCTCCTGTGGCTGCTCCCAGTCCTGCTGCTGCAAACCCTGCTGCTCTCAATCCAGCTGCTGCAAGCCCTGCTGCTGCCAGTCCAGCTGCTGCAAACCTTGCTGCTGCTCCTCAGGCTGTGGGTCGTCCTGCTGCCAGTCCAGCTGCTGCAAACCCTGCTGCTCCCAGTCCAGCTGCTGTGGTCCCATTTGTTGCCAGTGCAAGATCTGAAGTTCTATGAGCAACCTCATTTCTATCCTGGAAATTTTCGCCTTCTAGAAATGACCAGAATTCTTTCCTGAACTCCCAAACCAAAACTCTGAGCCTAGCTTTTTTTGCAGCAGGCATCAGCACTCAAACCCTGCCCACCAATGTTAAGAAAGTTCCCAGTGTCCAGTGCCCAGTCCATCTTTCCCTCCAGAATTCTTCTCTTCCTTTTCTGGTCTCCCAACTTCAGCCTTCTTAGGACTCCAAGATCCCACATCACTTGGCCCCTCCTTTGAGCATGCTGGAAGCATCTGCAAATAGAAGTTCCCCCGGAAGGGCCCCTCCCTTGACCCCTCTCTCCTTCCCCTACCTCTTGAAGCTCCTCCATATCTTCATCTTCATCTCATTCTGGCTTGCTGAAGTCAAAATGGCTTTGGAGTTATCTAGAGAGTAGAGAGCATTGGAGTACCTCAGAGTCTTCTCCTGCGGGGAAGTGAGTCTTCAGCCACCCTCCTTTCCTTCTTGCATCTGGTCAGTACCATGGCCTCATTGTTCTGATTCTCTGTTCAGTGCTTGATCTAGATCTTCTAAATAAATACAATCTGAACCTCCAAAGACTTTTACATTTTGATTCTTCAATTTCAGCCTGTATATGATTAGAAAAATAAATGATTTCTATATCATTACAACCCCATGCCTGTTCCCGACTCCATTATTTTGCTAAGATAGCCCATAACCAAGTGCTACAAACTGTGTGGCTTAAACAATAACATTTCATTGTCTCTGAATCCTGCAGGCCAGAAGTTCAAGATCAAGGTAGCCCTGGTCTGCATCTTCTCAGGGCTCTCTCCCTGTGTCCTCGCGTGGTCCCCTCTGTGTGTCTGAACCCAATTTCCTCTTCCTGTAAGGACATCTGGCAGACTGAATCAGGGTTCATCCTTCTCAAGTATGTCTACATCTTAGCTAGTTATATCTTGAAAGACCTCTCTCCAAATCAGGTCACATTCAAAGGTACTGGGGTTAAGATTCCAAACCATAATAACCACCCGGGCTCAAGTTATCACCATCTTTCCCACCTACATAGTTTGGAGGTATCTCTGGCTTTTATTCCTCTTGGTCTTAACATGTCACCAAATCCTACAGAATCTACCACAAAATATATCATTTGACATCTCCTTTGTGCCTCCAACCCAACCTCCCTTGGAACCCCTACCTCAGGTCCCCTTATCTGTCCCTTAACTGCTCTTAGCACAATAACAAAGTACAACAGACTGGGGGTCTTAAATGGCAGATATTAATTTCTCAGACATGTAGTGGAGCTGGTAAGTCCAATATCATTTTTACCTCCTCACAGGCCTTGTCTCCAGATATGACCACATCTGGAGTTAGAATTTCAATATATAAATTTTGTGGAGATACAAGCATCTATTACATTTTCCCCTGGCACCTCAAAATAATTCATGATCTTTTTGCATGCAGATATATTCATTCTACCCAATGGCATTCAAAGTCTTAACCCATTCCCACATTAACTCTAAACTTGAATTCAGAAGTCTCATCTCGACGTCATCATTCACCAGATAAAGTGGTGAGGCTCAGGGTATGAGTTATTCTGAGGCAAATTCCTCTTCAGCAATGAACCTGTGAAATCGGACAATTATGTGCTTTCAAAATATGATAATGGGACAGACACAGGATAAGGATTCCCATTCCAAATGGGGGAAACCAAAAAGAGGAAGAGTGTTCCAAACAAGTCCAAAATCTACCATGTTAAATTCCACCGAATCTTTAATTTTATGAATAATTTCCTTGGTTTGGTGTTCTGCCTGCTAGGCCCACTGAGATGACAACATCACTTCTATGTTTGTCTGCACAGCTTCAACCACACTGCTCTGTACGGGAACTCCACCCTCTGAAATCAAGGAAATAACATCCTTCCCCCTACGATGTGTCTGTGGCAGATAGCATCCCTGATGATCTCTGAATTGCCTTTGGGGTTATTCTTCTCTTGCCTTGAAGAATAGTACATGTTTATAGCTAAGTCTATTGTCTTGTCATATAGAACCCAAGTTGCAGGACATCCTTCCTTCATTCCATCGTGCTTTCTTTGTCTCTTGTAGTTCAATAGTTGCATCTTTGTTGGTGTAATCCCATCTGTATTCCTGGTGTCTGCAGAGATGGCTGATTAAGTTCATGAATTGTGCCCATGATCTTGTTATCAAAGGGATGTCAGCTGTGCACTTGGCATTCTCTTCAGTACATACTTTCTCACTTCTGGCAACCGACATGCATAGATTATTTCCAAAATTTTGAATTTTGGATTCCTTTTTTGCTCTATCATCCCTCCTTCAATTCATCTCTCTCATCTCTCATTTTATTATACATGGTCAGGAGGAACCATGCTGTTCCTTTGACACTTTGCTTAGAAATCTCATCTGCTAAATATCTAATTTTATTATCATTAGAAAGGGCTACCTTCCACAAAACACTAGGACTATTAAGTGATTTTTTTCTGCCTTGTCATGACAAGGATTACCTTTCATTATTTTTTCAATAATATGTACCCCATTTATTACTGATATCTCCCAGAATGCCTTTAATGTCCACATTTTTATCAATATTCTCCTTGTAATTATTTCTGCATGCTATGAAGAGATAAAAGTATTTTTTCCAGTTCTCTTGGTAAGTTTTCATTAGACTGGCCTTTAAAGTTTGTATTTCTGCCAACAGTACTGTCTGTCACAGAAATCTCAGATTGTTCTAATATTTACCTCAAAATTCTTTCAGCATCTACCCATCAATCCAGTTCAAAACTGTTTCTACACTTTTAGGTATATGTTATAGGAGTCACACACACTCCTCCCACACACACACAGACACACACTTGCTTCTTGATACCAAAATCTGTAATATTCTGCTTAGGCTGCCATTGGAATACCACAGACTGCCTGAGACTGACTTAAACAACACACAATTGTTTCTCACAGTTCTGGAATCTGGAAGTCCAGAATCTAGTTCTGGCAGCATTCAGCTTCTAGTGAGGGCTCCTTTGCTGGCTTTCAGATGGCTGCCTTCCTATGGAGTCCCCACATGGCACAGTGAGCTCTGGCGTCTCTCTTAGGAGAACACTAGTCCCATCAGATTGGGGCTCCATCCTTATGACTTCAGTTAACATTTATCGCTATTTCCCAGACCCCATTTTCTTAAACAGTCACAATGGGGGTCAGGGTTTAAACATATGCGTTTGGGGATAGATCAACATCCAGTCCATAACACTTGTTTTACACCCCCAGCCCCATCTTCCTCTCAAACCCCACTCATCTCCCTGTTCCTTCCTGTACATGGGACCTGACTTGCATTTCCATGGCATCTCTTCTCCCTTGCACACCCAGGTGGCTCACATGCCTGTTGACAATGCTCTTTCTCTCCTCCTTCCCTACCTTGTGTGCCCTTCACTTTCCAGTTTTCCATTTGCACGCTCCTTCCTCTGATTGCCTTTTATGGTCCTTATTAGTGTAGCAGCAACTTCTGAGCAGGAAGCAACTTCTGGCCCAGCTGCAGTGTCACAGATGAGAGGGCACCACTGTGCAATGCTGGAGCTGCGTGGAAGGCCTGGGTTCAGATCCCTGACCAGCCTGAAATTGTTGGGTGCAGGAGCAAACACCTGTAATCCTAGCTAACTGGGAAGATGAGCAGGAGGATCACAGGATGGTAAGACCCTGGCAAAAAGACTTTCCTCTCTCTCCAGATATAGATACAGATGTATAGATGATATAGATATATGATATATGATATAGATATGATACAGATATATAGATATGGCTTTGGGGACTGTTGGTTCCACTGACACATCTTCAAAAAATAATAAAATAAACAAATTACACTAATTTTTTTTGAAGAGAGGTTTTTGGTATAGGGCATGTGTACTCACTGGAAAGGCTGACCGCAGTTCGAGTCCTGGACCCAGTGGCTTTAAAAACACGCTGGGCATGTGTACAGGTGTGCCCGAGCTCCTGGGAGAACAATGGAGAAGGGATTGCCGTGTGTCCATCCCCACTGGGGGGTGATTTCTCACTTTCTGTCTCTCTGTCTCTCTCTGTCTTTCTGGCAAGTGTGCATGCCCTATAGGATAAACCTCTCCAAAAAAAAAAAAAACCACACACACACATACCCCCAGCCCCATCTTCCTCTCAAACCCCACTCATCTCCCTGTTCCTTCCTGTACATGGGACCTGACTTGCATTTCCATGGCATCTCTTCTCCCTTGCACACCCAGGTGGCTCACATGCCTGTTGACAATGCTCTTTCTCTCCTCCTTCCCTACCTTGTGTGCCCTTCACTTTCCAGTTTTCCATTTGCACGCTCCTTCCTCTGATTGCCTTTTATGGTCCTTATTAGTGTAGCAGCAACTTCTGAGCAGGAAGCAACTTCTGGCCCAGCTGCAGTGTCACAGATGAGAGGGCACCACTGTGCAATGCTGGAGCTGCGTGGAAGGCCTGGGTTCAGATCCCTGACCAGCCTGAAATTGTTGGGTGCAGGAGCAAACACCTGTAATCCTAGCTAACTGGGAAGATGAGCAGGAGGATCACAGGATGGTAAGACCCTGGCAAAAAGACTTTCCTCTCTCTCCAGATATAGATACAGATGTATAGATGATATAGATATATGATATATGATATAGATATGATACAGATATATAGATATGGCTTTGGGGACTGTTGGTTCCACTGACACATCTTCAAAAAATAATAAAATAAACAAATTACACTAATTTTTTTTGAAGAGAGGTTTTTGGTATAGGGCATGTGTACTCACTGGAAAGACAGAGAGGGACAGAGAGACAGAAAGAGATATATCATCCCCCAGGGATGACTGGCCACACCACAATCTCTTCTCCTCCATTCTCCTCTCAGGATCTTGGGCACATAAGTACCCAAACTTGTGCTCAGTATGAGTTTAAGCCACTGGGTCCGGGACTCAAACCTCAGTCAACTATGTGGGAGTCCAACAACATAACCATTACACCATCTGCTAGTTGCACGCTATTTTTTTTAAGTGACTTAAAAGCTATCTAAAGTCTGAGGGATCATGGGTAAGTAGTGGACATGAGAAAACAAGGCACCAAAATAACTAGAACTTTGAGAGTTAGTGCCGGAGGGTCAAATCAAAAGATGACCAGAGTCAGCTCTTGAATCAGACCTCACAGAATCAGACCTCCTTCTCAGGAGCTTATACACATCCCTAGGCTTGAAGAGCAAGGGAAGGTAGAGGAGGATCTCGGTTACAAGGCTGGAGACCCCAGACTCAGGTGCAGTAGCAGCAGAGAGCTGGACACTGCATGGAGGTGGAGGGGAGCAGTTGCTCACAGACATAGTAAGCAATGGGTGCCTGATAAAACTGTGACCAAAACATATGTATATATATAAACTCAACAATATGGAATTTTATATATATATTTTTGCAGTTTCTATTTTAGTAAGATTGACTAAATACCATTCACAGCCCTCCTACAAAAACACTTAAAATCTGCTGGACTAAAATTTAAAAATAATTTAAAAAAAAATTTTTTTTTTTACACAGGATTTTACTATGGTGGTCTCTTTCCATCTCACTATATTGCTCCTGCGGGCCACTAA